AAGTAGATCAGAGACATATTTATAGTAATTATGCAGGCAAATTTGCCTGCAAATCTCTACCAATTAAGGGATAAATATGTCTCTGATCTACTTTTTTAATTATTTAAAATATTTAAATAAAATTTACTGTAGTAGAGATACTCAGAAGCACTATAGTAGAGGCACTCAGAAGCACTGTAGTAGAGATACTCAGAAGCACTATAGTAGAGGCCCTCAGAGGCACTGTAGTAGAGGCACTTGTGCAGAGACACTTAAAGATACTTGTGTAAAGACACTTGGAGGCACTTAAAGATACTTTGTACAGAGGCACTTAGAAGCACTTTGTGCAGAGGCACTTTGTATAGAGGCACTTAGAGGCACTTTGTGCAGAGGTACTTAGAAGCACTTGGCCGTAGCATTACTATGCCCTATTCTATTACCCAATAGAATCTTCTTTATTCTAGATATAATTGACTATAACTAATAATCTAATACTAATAATATAGTAATAATAAAATAATAATATAATAAATAATATAATAATATAATATTTTTCTATACTATGCTATGCTAGTATTACTCTGTGTTACAATCTACTTTGTAACAATATAAACAATCAAGTTTTAATTCTCAAGCTAGAGTATATTCTACAAATAGTAGCATTAATAGAAAAAAAACTATATATATATAATTTATTAGCCTTTACTATACTTAATAAAGAAGAAAATAGGAATAGTACAAATAGTACTAAATAATATTCTGGTTTACGGTTAGAGAGTGAAATAGGCTGAGTTGGACTAGGCTTTCATAAGCTCAAAACCAAGTCTGAAAAATATTTATAGGCCCAAGCCTAGCCTGCTAAAAAAAAAAGTTTACAAAATATAAACCAAGCCAGGTTTTAAATTTAAACTAGGCCTGGCCCAACCTAGTCTATAAAAAACCCCTATTATAACTACTACAATCAGTTATATAATTACTGTTTAAAATCTGATTTAAGATTTTACTTAACCAGATCTTATAACCTAATATAACAAAATTATTATTATTATTATTAATACAAATTAAAATCTCTATAAATTAGGTATATATATATATTTGTATATATTATAATACTAGGCTTGGGTCTTATTTCTGTTAATACATAGAAGATAAATATACAAGAATACTATCAGATTTTATTGTAAAACCTATCTCTATCAAATCAAATATATGTATATATACGTATATCTAATAAGCTTGAAATTAATTTTTAAAAATTGATTTTTAAAAGAAAATACAAATATTTTTTTATTTGTTTAAAAAAATATATATTTAAATTTAATATATATACCAAGAATAGAGAAATATGTAATATTATAATATATATGGCTCTATAGCTACTATGGGTAGTAAAAAACCTTATGTTTGATAATTAAGCTCTGCAACTACAAAAACAGTACAATGGCTTTATAATATGATTAGGCTTCATGGCTACTATAGTAATACAAAAACCCATGTTGTGATTAGTTTCTATAGCTACTACAAGCAATGCAAAAGCATTATTTTAGAGAATTAAGTATTACAACTATGATAACAATACATTGTGGTTAGGCTTTGTAGCTATAATAGTATAAATTAATCTAAATAGAAACTAATAATAATATTTTTATACTTATAGAATATAGTGTTAAATATATTGCATATAGATTAAAACAAAAGAAGCTTTTATATAATCTACTCTAAACTATACTTATTAAAAAACAAAATAATAATAATAATACTTTTCTGATAAATCATATATAATATTGTCTATACATATTTTATTTTAATTTTTTTATATCTATAATTTGCAAATTAGATAAAGTAAAAGGTAATAAGTTTTATTTGAAGAGATTTTATAAATATATATATACAATAAGTAAACAGATATCTATCTGATAAAATTTAAATTGTACTGACTACTGTAATTAATTTCTAGATAATAACTAGCATATTTAAAAAGTGCTATAAAAAGAAAATTATTAAGTATAAGCTTTAACTAATAAGACATATGAACAAATATAGAGTTTATTATATATATATTTTTAATGGGTTTTTCTAGACATCTCTGGTCAGAGATATATAACTTATATATCTCTGGCTTATTAGCTAATTAAAACGAATAAAAATCACGTGACTTATTTTTCAAATTGTTGGCAAATCAGAAAATTTTGTGCAACTCAAAATCTGACCTAACTTTCCAAACATGAAAAATCGGCCAATCAAATTCAATAATACAAAAAAAAGTTTAAGTTTTTTAAATTTTTTTTATTAAAAAGTATTATTTTTTATTGGTTACTAAAAATACTACCAAAAAATACTGCAAAAACAAATACAAAAAAAAATATCAAAAATTGTCAAGGACACACTAGAGAATTTACCACACAATGCCAAAGGTGTTTAAAAAAAACAAACACCAAAAAATTCATTACAGTTTCAAAAGTGCCCAAGGACAAATGCCAGAAAATTCACCACACAATGCCAAAGGTGTTCAAGAACAAACACCAAAGAATTCATCACAGTGCCGAAAGTGCCCAAGAACAAATGTCAGAGAATTCACCACATAACGCCAAAGGTGTTCAAGAACAAATACCAGAGAATTCATCAAAGTACCGAAAGAACCAAAGAACAAATACTGGAGAATTCACCACATAACCCTGAAGGTGTTCAAGAACAAATACCAGAGAATTCATTACAGTGCCAAAAGTGCCAAAGAACAAATGCCGGAGAATTCACTACACAACATCAAAGGTGTTCAAGAACAAACACCAGAGAATTCATCAAAGTACCGAAAGTGCTCAAGAACAAACATCAGAAAATTCACCACATAATTCCGAAGATGTTCAAGAACAAACACCAGAGAATTCATCACAGTGCCGAAAGTGCTCAAAGACAAATGCCAGAGAATTCATCACACAATGCCAAGAACAAACACCAGAGAATTCATCATAGTGCCGAAAGTGCCAAAGGACAAATGCCAGAGAATTCATCACACAATGCTGAAGGTGTCAAGAACAAACATCAGAGAATTCATCACAGTGCCCAAGAACAAATGCCGGAGAATTCACACACAATGCTGAAGGTATTTAAGAACACCAGAGAATTTATTATAGTGCCAAGAACAAATACTGGAGAATTCACCACACAATGCCAAAGGTATTTAAGAACACCAGAGAATAGGGTTCCTCAAACTCAAATCAAATCAAATATTAGGCCAATTTGAATTTGATCAAATCAAATTTGTCTTGATTTG